CACCGCGCCCGTGCCCAAAGGGCAAAGGAAGCCAGCACTTCGGGCGGAGGTGGCATTCGCGTAGAATGTGCCTGGATAGAAAGCTTCTCGTCTCAACTCGTTGTCAAAGCTCGCAATGCAGTCCAGTTGCAGGAGGAGGTACTTGTACAATTCATCACCTCTTCCTTGCACCAAAACAACGAAAGTTCAGAGCTTTGGGATGATCCCTGGATTGCATGACATCTGCTTCCGAGCTTCGAGAGAGAGATTACGTGCTGAGAGGGAGATGCCGGAGCTCTTCGTTCTCAGGTGAGCGGAGCCGATCTTCAACAGGCCTGCCACGGCAGGATGCTGGCAGCTCGTGAAGCTGATCCTCGAACAACCGTCCTGTGGCTTTTGGCGCAGAAGAAACTTGGTGGAGTTTGGGAAGTTTAGGCTTCAGGGTCAGCACAGGAATCGAAAGCACAGGGTTTGCGAGCACGCGTCCCTCAGCAGACTTCACGAGCAATAGAACTCGATCTTGGAAGCGGAGAAGAAAGAGGCAGTCAGAGAGAGAGAGAGAGAGCGAGAGAGCGAGAGAGAGAAAGAGAAGAGAGAAAGAGAGAGAGAGAATCCTTACGTACATGAGCAGGGTCAAAATATCCAAGACACCGCTGCATTCCGACCGAGCACGTGGCCAAGAAAGGAGGATGGCTATGGTCAACTACAAAACACACGAAGTACAACAGAAATCCCAGTAATTAGTTGGAATCAAACGAACACAAAGAACGGTAGGCAAATCCCGCTTGAGGGGCGTTTGGAACCCCCTTTTGCCTCCTTTCGGGGCGGGGGGCAGGCTTTCTCACGCAAGAAGGGGCTAGCAAGCTCCGAGAGCGCTCACACAACCCACAGCATCACGAAACTGCTCCTGCGAGCGCAGCTCAGAACGCTGCGGCAGTTGCAGGCACACCGGCAACGGGAGTGGTAGCCAACCTTCCTGCCGACCTCCCCAATTTCGGACCTCTGCTCCACTCCCAAATAGAGACCAGACAAAAAAACGCAAGCAAGCCAGAAGACACCCATCTAAGTTCTTATCGAACAGCTGTTTCGGCCTGAGACGGCGAAGTCGTTCACATCGCCTTTGCTCTCCCTCAACAATGAGAGCTCCTGAAGCCCCAAGTTCAGGGTTTAGGGTTTAGGGTTTAGGGCTGAAGGCATAAGGTCTCGCCACTAGAGGTGCTGTACAGCGGGGGCCGTCCATCCAAAGTGAGTCTGTCCCATCTGCGGTGTTGGATTGAGGCTGGCTAAAGTGTGTTCACACGTAGCGGGCGAATCCCGGTCCTCGATTTGCACTTCCGCTTCTGTGTCATCGGCTGCAGTTGCAGCGAAGGCAGCTGCAGCCACGTCAGCGTCACAGGCATCAAGAAGCAGCTTTGCAAAGTGTCCTGAAAGATGCTGTTGAGTGAGATGGCTTCAGTCGCCATGCAGACCCTCCCGGGCATCCCAGCGGGAAGGGGTTTGATGAAACCGCTGTTCTTCTTTCGTTTGGATTCTCTGCTTCCTATTGTGACACCTTCCATGCCGCAAAGGCTTTGTTTTCACTCTAAACCCTAAACCGTAGAAACCGTGCCAGTGGCGTCTCACACTGCCGCACCGATCTCTCAACCCGTTTGAGACTGTGAATTTAATAGAGTGGGCGTTAGTTGTAGTACTGAAAAAAGGTGCTGGGGCAAGCTTTGCATATCAACATCATGCCAAGAACCCAAAAAATCATATTCCTGATGAATCAGGCTTTCATATTACATCGAATCCTAAACCCCAAATCCCTATGGCGACCCTTGTTGAACCCACTGAAGAGACCTGAAAGACCGAACTGAACTCGTGAATCAACCCACTGCTACCCGATGGCTCTGAGGATTCGCTTTGGCCACTTGGGGACGCGGCACGGGGTTTGCTCTCGGGCTCCGTTCGCGCTTGGGCTGTGGTCCGACCGAGGCGACTTTGGTGGTGTAGGGTTAAGGCGGCTAAGCGTCCAGGGCATAGGCCCTGCCCAACTACTCCCAGAGTGAGCAACAGCTGGATAAAGTTTGCAGCGTGTTGAGTGTCCAACAGACTCAGTGGGAGTAGCCTGTTGGACAGATCATGGGATGTTGCTGCAAAATTGATTTACGAAGTTACTGCGATGATGGCGGGGTACTTGTGCTGCCTGGGTAGCAAGCCTGAAATGAGGTGCGCACGAGCCCCCGAGTCTCCGAGCAAAGGAAAACGATACAGGATAGCACCGAAGACGTAGGTTTCAAACCTGGCCAACAACCAACCACCCCTGCCGTCCTTGGCCTTCTTTCAAGTAAAGCCCGCCGCCGATGCTGCTGGCATGGCACGCCTTCAAAAGCTCCGTTTCTCACTGTCATGCCGCTGATGATGTTGTCTGCCAAGCTCCAAGGACATGAAGGATTTCGGATAAGATCCTTCTTTTGACTACAAGTGTCACGGTTTGCTCTGGGCTCGGCCAAAACATCCGAAGCAGTGACCTAAACTTGAAATCCTGAAAGCACCCTCTCCCGAACCCCTAAGCTCGACAGAGTGGCGAGCACCTAAGCCTAAGCACCCGGCCTCGAATGTGAGCGAACCGCCGTGATGCACTGCGCCGCCTTGGGTGATCCTAAGGCCGCCACCTGCGCCCAGCAAGTGTTATCCAAGAAGTCATGGGGACAATGATACCTCATGGTACTCCTAATGGTAATAAGACAATCATACTGATAGAATCTTAGTACGGACAATACCACTAACAGTAATGGTGAGCCACCGTAGGCATGATAGTAGCAATACCTAAAACATATGCTGGCTGGCAGATTTGGGGTTTCAAGGTCCTGTGACGGAGTGGTTCTGAGATCCGTTTATGGCATGTGGTACAATCAATGCATTGCAATCATACATGCAGGGTTCAGGGTTACGGGTTTGCTATTTATAAGACAGAGAGGGCTACGGGGTTGTAATTCTAGTTGTTCGTGCTACAGAGCCTGCGATTTTCAGCTACCGATCCTAAACCTAAATCCTAAAACCCCATTAGCCCAACGGAGTTCCAAAGGAGCCTGGGCCAGAATAGGAGCTCAAGGTTCCCGGCCTGCGTTTGCACGGCATGCCTTGAAGTGCATTGAGCCCTTGCCGTCCAGGCTTTCGGTGATAACACCGCCTCCGTCCCCTCAGCATCACTGAGCATGGGAGGTACAACGTCGTTTGGGGGGCATTGCTTGAACTCTACCCCCTAAACCCTAAACCCTAAACCCAAAGCCCAACTCTTGCAGGCAGAATCGTTTCTTGCATCTTCACATGGCACAGCTGAGCGCTGCAAGCAAGGATCCTGACACCTGGCCCAGTCTGCTGACCCTTTAAGACGAGCCGTGTTTGGTTCCGATCTGCGACGTCATCTCCTTGCCCAGAAACCTAAACCCTCAACCCTAAACCCTTGCTAAGGCGCTATCTGAAGAGCAGTGCTCGAAGAGCACCGAACTGCCGGCTTCCTGTTGGTAGCTGCCTGCCGCATGGAGGCCGCCTCCTTTGTCGACCAGCACACTCTGAAAACGGATACTACGGTTTAGGGGTTTAGGTGTGTATGTCTGGGACGCGAGGTGGGCCGCGGCAACTGTCGCAACCCAAGCCGTGCATGTGTTTTGGAAACCCTGGCATCAACCCGCGACCTTGAATTTGTTCATTTGCAGCGGCTGTCCCGGTCCGATTCAGGCTCGCATGGCGCGAGTAATGGCCATGTCAAGGGTTGGTGTCGGAAGGCTGGCAACGGCAAGAATGCTGCTGCCCGGGCTCCGTCCAGTCCCGCCCTGCAGCTGCGGAAGATGGCGGAGCTGTAAGGGCCTTGCGTGAAGTTCTCCACGGATGCACCGCCACCGCCCCAACCTGGGACACGACACGTCACGGGCTCATTTTCGGAGCGATGAGTTCAGGGGCCTTAAGCTGCTTAGATGAAGCCGCTTTGCGGTGCCATGCCCCCTACGGCCTTCCCATTCCACGGCCGGCCCACTATGCGCAGACGTCCTCAGCCTCTAGAAGCCGCTCCCGCAAGTTCCGCCACCCAACAACAAGGCAACGAGACGATCGAAGACCAACCCCGAACTTCGCTTCAACAGTGCCCAGGCATATGTTTCGGAATGGGACCACCCTAAACCCTAAACCCTAAACCCTACACCCTAAACCCTATCTCACGCAGAATCCTCGACTGCCAAGGCGCTCTGCCGGGTATCTGCCGAGCAGTTCTCGAAGAGCACCGAGCTCCCGGCTTCCTGTTGGTAGGTCGAGGCGTCGAGGCCACCTCCTGGCGGGGCACCAGAATACGGCTGTAGGGTTTGAGGGTTTAGGCTTTGGGTTTTTTGGGTTTAGGGTTTAGGGTTTAGGGTTTAGGGTTTAGGGTTTAGAGGTCAAAACTGTCTTCGGACACTGCAGCATCACGTAGCATCTTTTCGGGTATTATGGAACATTGTAGGCTCTAATGTTTGGGATCCCCCCTAAACACATCACGCTGAGGAGCCCCCAAAGCCGAGGCCATCAATCCCAGACCTTGACATCTTCTACACATTTCATTCCAGGGGCTGTCCCTGTCAGATAAAGACTCGAATTGGCACGAGTACGGCCACGCCCAACAGAGGGTGTGGGTGGCGGAAGGCTTCCAGGACGCTCCCACTGGCAAGCTGCTGCCCAGGCTCCGTCTTGTCCCGCCCGGCAGCTGCGGAAGATGGTGGAGCTGTTGGTGCCCGGCGTGAAGTTCTCCACGCGTGCACCACCGCCATCACCTGAGAGACAGCACAGGCTAAGATTCGGAGCAATGAGTTCAGGCCCCCTCAGCTGCTCAGAAGAACCCACTTTGCAGTGTGAGCCTTAATATTCCCGTCGTTTCATTATCGACTGCCAAGGCGCTATCTGCCAAGCAGTGCTCGAAGAGCACCGAACTCCCAGCTTCCTGCTGGTAGCTGCCGTTGGCGTGGAGACCGCCTCCTTGGCAGACTTGCACACTCTGACAATGCCGAACGTGTTCACGTGTCCGTCCGGGAAACATTACCACCGGAGACACTTGATGAGGAGTACAAAAGGCGGGCCAAACAGGGACAGAGCGAGGTGGGGTCTTGATGTAGGTTGGACTCCGCATTCCCCTTGATATCCTCTCAACGGTCGGATCCGCATCGTTCCTGTTGGTGAACGACCCAACAGAAACGCTGAGGCTAACCAAAGGGCTATGGCGTTTACCGTGGTTCATGAGAGAATCGATGTCGTGCACACCAGAACGAATGAGATCAAAGGCGACATCCTTACGAAGAGGTTAAGCTACCGAAAGCTGGAAAGTGCATGCGAGGCCCAAGTTGGGCCTTTTTGACCGGCGTGTAGAAAGTCCACTGATAAGTACTATATCGCCTTGTTGTGCTGTCAGTTTTGACCCGTTCGACATGATCCAGCATATCGCCCGTTTCACGTGCGTATGCTGAGGAGGAGGGTTGTTGAGCGGTTGAGAACAGGATGACACGCACAAATCTGGCAGTGTCATCGAAGCATGGCCCCTGCGCGGCATGACACTAAGGTCACATGATATCGTGGTTGAAGCCCTATGAAGGGCGCAGCAAGACCGAAGTGCGAAAGGTTCGTTGTGAACTGCATTTGCCTTTGGGACGCAGGTTGTGAGCCTGCAGTCCCCATTATCATCACGAACTCTAGTTTTATGATGTCCCGGTCCTGTTAACGCTATTATCTCGGGAAATAATAAATAATGGGATTATTTTGAGATTGCAGATGGAATCGAGGCACTCAGGCAATCAAACAAGCAAAGGGAAAAATGGAAAAAATATGGGATTGGAATCCCGTGGCATTCTGACTTCAATGTTTCTCCGATTTGGTTGCAGGGTGCACTTGGCATTTGATTTTTGTTTCATTTTTTCCCCACAGTCCCCGTGCGGCCCCGATC